CCCTCTTCATCTTTGTGTTTTCAAATGCGTTGCTGACTTTTTCCCGCAAATCTTTGACAAAGTTTGCATCATTCATGCGCTTAGTCTTTAAAATGATGTTGCTGTTTGTCAAGTCCAACTTGGTTGCTACCTTTTTTACAGCATCTAATTTGAAATCTTTGCTTTGACGGTTACCCACCAAGAAGATCTGGGCCTTGTGGTTTTGGTTGGTTAGCAGCTCACACTCAGAGTCCAAAGCATCAAAGAACACAAAAACTGCTGCAGATGTCTGACACAAGAAAGCAAATTGTGTTTCAAATGAAGCACTGTCCCCACGAAGGTTAGCCACAGCAACTGGCTCGCTGAAGACATCCATGTTTTTGTTCCCACAAGGAAGGTACCAAGTCATTTCAACCAATCCACTGGATATTCTCCTTGGACTGTCACCACCCTCCATGTTGGAGTGAACAAAGGTGTCATGGTACTGCTGAGAATTGCTCAGAAGCTCATTGAGGATCTCTGACTTGGACAAGGAGCACTCACCCAGTCTCACAAAAGATATCATTGGAAGTTCAGAGACAACAATTCTCTCTTCAATAAATCCCCTGGACTCTGAAAGTGACTGAGGTCTGTACTTTTTAACAATGTCTCTCATGGCCCAAAGCATGAATGTGCACTGCTTTGTGTCACAGTTGGGAAGCAACAGAGGCACGGAAAACTGACACATGGACATTTTGAGGGCCATTTCCTGCTGTACAAAACCATCAGAGCACAGGAAGAGAGCAGTGATAATATCAAGGGGATTCAGTGTGTCACCTGAATGTGTACTTTCATCGAAATTATCAAGATCTAAGTGATCATCCAAGTCTGATTCATGTGAAGGTGTACATTTTACATTCCTAGCTGTCACATTAACCATCATTAGTTTCTTCAGAAAATACCATGGAAGATCTGAATTACACTTAGCAGGTTCATCAGTAATGGTCTTCTTGTCAATCCTTAGAAGTGTGCTTTGGGATAGCTTCTCTTTGTAGTGGTGATCCAACCCCAGTTCCTCCAAAAAACTCTCTAGGTGTGGCTCTGTAGAAAATGAAAGAGAATCATACTAAAAACATTATCCGTTATTCCACCAACCCTAAGCATGTATCAAAATATATTTTAATATTTATCAATTGCTAAAACTATGACTACGTTGGCCATTCAGTCAGTCAGTAAACTGCTTGTCTAATCGCAGCCTGCTAATGAATTGTTGGTTAAAGGACCTTGAAGAGGTGGATAGAGACATTTCTTTGGATCAGAATACGGCAGGTTGATGAAAATCCTCCTGGCACTGAATTGGACATTGGCATTATTCATAGGTGATAATTGAATGAAACTCAGAAAGGGTGCTGTCATTATCAATCATATTACCTAACAGCAGAATATCCTGGGGAGGGTTAAACCGTATAAACTGTATACATACTTATGCTCTAGACCAGGGGTCTCCAACCTTTCTTCATCTGAGAGCTACTTTCAAAAAATGAAAGTGGCCAAGAGCTACTTGCATCACATCGCTTACATTTATTCACATAGCCCTCATCAGTTGAATTAAGCTATACTTTTGTACACGTGTGAAATTGCAATACCTAAAGCTTATCAAAAATAAGGTCCAAGAAAACGAAGATTTCTCACATATTATTATGGCCCACATAATAAGTACATCACTGAACATTCACATAAGTGTCCTTAATCACCACCTTACAAGCATTTCACTCTTTTGTTAGTGAGATTAATGGCACTGCATACAGTCCACCATAGAGGTGTATGCTGGACCCACTTAGGTTCACTTAATAGAGTCATTTAAATGTTCATCAGTCGGTCTTGTTCTGTATTTAGATTTCATTCATGTCAGAAAAAGCTGCTTCACAAAGGTATGTAGAACAGAACCAAATAAAGCAGACATTTTCAGTGCTGCTTGGTGAATGTTCTTATAGTTTTCTGGGTCTACAAGGCTCCAGAAATGTTGTGAGTTTTGCTGAGACTTAAGCTGAACATTATTTTGGAGATCTCCACAGGATTGACACTGAACAGTTGTTCAGCCATCTTTTTCTTCTTCTTCTTCGTCTTGACATTAAATTATAAACCATAATAAATCAATTGTATAGGTCTAGCCTCCCTATATCTGTGTGTGAAAATGGTTCCATCCTCAAAAACAAAAAACTAATACTTCTGCAGTCTAGCTGCAGCTTCTAGCAACGGTCTTCTGTTAAAAAAAAGACACACATGACTTGAGTCTGAAAACAGCAGGATTATTTACAATAGCATTATAAAAACAAAAATAGTGCATGTGGGTGCACACTTACATTCTCTGTCTTACTGTTACATAAATCCCATGAATGTATGAGATTAAGTTAGCTTCATCATATCTCAATCAGTGATTAAGTGAATAATAAAGTTTCTATCGGGTCACTATCAGCCTGTCACTCATTATTTTCAGGGAGGGGGCGGGGTTTGGAGGAACGGAGAGGAGACGGTGATCGCGGAAGCTTTCCTCCTGCCTTCACAAACTTTACACAAGTATTTATCAACTGAAAATAGCAAGAGGACATTCATACTCTGCAATCCAAGACTTGATTAAATTCACCAAAAACCTGACATGACGATAACGAGTGTTTTTCAAAAAACACAAATCCCTCCCTGTGTGTCTCTGAGGCGCAGCGACAGGGCCTGATTCAGAGCGGGTCATTCTGCTGTTAGTTCTGGACTCGTGCTGGTGGAGAAAGCAGACTGCTCCGTGTGTGTTGTCGCTGTGCTGCTGTCACGTCTGTTCCTTGATCTCTGCGTCACCGACCATTTGATATTCGTGTGACAGAAAAAAATCTAAAATAAAAAAACGTTATTGTCCAGCCGCGGCCGAAAAATCAATAAGCAACCTTACTACGCTATAATCGATAATCGAGCGGCGAGCTACTGAAAAGCTGCCCGCGAGCTACCGGTAGCTCGCGATCGACGTGTTGGAGAGCCCTGCTCTAGACCCATAAAAGGTTCAGTTGTTCTTATCCTGACTTAACTATTATGCATTTCATTATACTTTTTAACAGTGTTGAAAAAAGTCCTCAATAAATATTGATACCAAAGTGTAGAAATTAAAGTAGAGATGTGTGTACCAAAACTAAAAGCTTTTAACAATTTTAGAATAATATATATTGTAATTAGTAATAGATTAATGTGGTCACAATTTAAATGTTGCAGCTGGTAAAGGAGAAGCTCACTTTTATTACTGTTTTACTTTCAGCTAATCAATGACAATACATCATAATTCAGTAGTTGATTTATATATTTGTATTTTTTAATAAGAACTTGCTAAAAGTAACATAGCGTATGTACAAAATCAAATTTGTTAGCATGTTGTGAGGCAGGATCTATAGAAACAGCCAAACGGGTGTCTTTCAGAAGAAGAAATTGGTAACTTTCTTGTATTCAAAGATAAATACTACAGGGATGGAATCTGGACTTCTTCTTCTGAAGAGTACATCAACCCAGAAGCATGTGCAAATAAAGCCATCTGTCCAATTCCAATATTTATGTTTGAGTTCCCATTACATTACTGATTTCTTTATACAAACCTTTGACGTTGTCTGCAGCCATATGCAATAATGATTTCATTTGACTTACGTGTCTGGGCAGAGGTTTTAGTAGGCTTGCTTATTGTGTCCCGAGGCGATGACTCCCTGCTGACGTGGTCGACTGTAACCTGCACAGGAGGGGTGGGCTCTGTGGGAACATATAAAGGTTTCACTGAAACTGAAAATTCCCGTTCTGTCAAAGTTTGTCAGCATTTTAAAGTGCTGCTTGACTGCTAAGTAAAACAGTGTGGTAAAAGAGAAAGCTAAATAAAATAACAACATGGATGTAATGGCAATTTTAGTGTTCCAATGTCCTATATTCTTTTGCCATTACTTCACAGGAGGGCTAGAGAGTGATCCAGACGCAGACACAAACAGATGATTTTCCGGTCTTTTGCTGCAGTTTAGAATGATGTTTTATTTAGCGTTCTACATACCAAGGTTTAATTATACATGCAATAGTTGTGGTGAGCATCTGCCGGGCTGGTGGAATCGGTATGCTCTTTCCTCCTGTGTCCTGTCCTTTCCTGTCACCTATGACCCTTTTTATACACCCAGTATAACCTGCAGCTAACCCCCGCCACCAAGTGTCCAAAATAATATTGCAGTATAAATATAAATAAAGTAAACTGAGACACCAACAACACCCATAAAATGGCTCCTACAATGGACTTAATTTGTCTAAAACTAACATTTATTACGTACATCAACAGTGTCCCTCAGGAGTTTACATTTTGAGGAAATTATTCACGTTTGCTTTTTAAGGATTTGTTTTTGATTTACCTCTTGCAATCCTGTGCAACAAACCTGCAATGTGAGATATAAACACTATCTGCCATTTGTACGGCGCTATAATCACTTGAATGTAGAAAATACTTATTTTTATAAATGTCCCAACTTATATTCTTTTAAGGTCACAACACTTCAATGCCATCTATGTCACTTAGCTTACTCAAATTGCTGCTACTCATTTCTGAGCTATGGTTGTGTACTTATTTGTCTTTATTTCTATTTGATTACTAATGTATGCTTTACTTTTTGATTATTTCATGTCTCCTTTTTTTTTTAGCTGCTATTCAACTTTTGCAGAAGTTCTTTATCCTCTGAGGATGAAGTTGCTCAGTTCCTGCATTTTAGATTGATTTCAATTGTATCTGACTTTCTTTATTACTTTATTAAATATAAAAATAGACAAACTTGTGTATTAATCATTTATCAGTTTCTCTTAAGGGAATTGAAATGCCCACCACAATGTAATCTGCATTTTTCTCGGCAGTCTCCAAACTCTGAAAGGTCTTTATTAACCCAGAAGCATGTTCACTCAAAGCCATCTGCTCAATTCCAATCTTCATCTTTGGGTCAACATCTTTGACATTGTCTTTATCAACCATGCAATAATGATTTTATTTGACTTACTTGTGTTGGCAGATGTTACAGTTGGCCTGCTTATTCTTCCATTCCGAAGTTTTGTAGAAACCTGTAGAAAGTAACACTCCCCTGGCTTCAGGTTGCTGAATGTCATCTTGTTTGTGTCAGTTGTCTCTTTCATAATGTCTCCCTCACTGCAACAAGTCACAATGTAACTCTCCACTTCACGAGCAGGGGGGTCCCAATGCAGAGACAGTGACTCGCTGCTGACCTGGTCGACTGTAATCTGCACAGGAGGGCTGGGCTCTGTGGGAACATATAAAGGTTTCACTGAAACTGAACATTCATATTCTGTCAAAGTTTGTCAGCATTTTAAAGTGCTGCTTGACTGCAGTAAAATAGTGTGGTAACAGAGAAAGCTACATAAAATAACAACATGGACTTAATTTGTCTAAAACTAATATTCATTAGATACATCAACAGTGTCCCTCAGTGTAAGGAGTATACATTTTGAGGGAATTATCCACGTTTGCTTTTTATGGATTTGTTTTAGATGTACCTGTGCGACCATTCACAGTGCTGGGCGCAGCAGGAGGGATATCAGGTGGTGAAATGAAAGACTGCTGGTTAGTATTTACAATAGTTATTGGTGGAGGTGGAGGATCTGTCATAAGATTAGAAAAGTGCATCTCAGTATCTTTACATTACAGCAAATATGAAGTCATTACATTGGATCAGACATTGACAGTCATACTTACAGTTGGACTGTGGTGCTGCTGGAGTGTTCTCTAATTTCCTATTGCTCAGGCAACAACCGCTCAGCACAGAACAGCACTGTGCTAGGACACCTGGATTTCCCTGTGGGGATTAACAAAGTTTCTCTTTTCTTGAACAAAGGAAACTGATCCATAATATGAGAAAAATATGTTTAGATTTGAAATGTATCTACTGATACCATATTCACAGTAGCTGATATCTAACCGTTTACCTCTTCACCAGGGCTCTCCATTGTAGATACTCTTTCAGCCATGGCTCTCCCTCCACATTATTCATACAGCTTCTCACTGAAAGTTATCAAATTAAACTCAGTAACACCATCCACTCCAACACTTACTGTATGTTGCATCAAAATACAATCACTGACAAAAGAATGTGTCACCTACCTTTTCAGATCAACCATGGTATCTCTTCTTTTATCCTGGAGTTTTTATCTATTGTATATGCAATCGTTTTTTATAGGTTAAGTTTTAGTCCTGAGAAGAAAGCTCTGCACTTCTCTGGCAACTCAAGTGCGTAGTGACTCTCTCTCTTTTATTTCCCCGTAAAGGATTATCTAGTTCACACTATAATCAAAAGTGATAATGTTTTACAGCTTTAATGGTTTATCCTGCAATGCTGCAGACTGATCCTTTTATGCTGCTAGGTAAAGCTACTTTCAAATGTGTTTTGGACAGTTGATGGATCACGTGGTTTTTGAAAACAAAGATTACAGTCAATTACATTACATTTAGTTTAAAACCCTTTAGATGGCTTCATTCTTTTTTTCAGAATTAGAACAATCACACAATGTTTATTACACTTTTTTTTAGATCAAATTAAATACCAATTCAAGGTTACATTTTCAATTTGACGTTCCAGCAATTCTGACTGATAAATGCAAATCTGGAAAGTTAAGGTCCTTATCGTCTTGTTTACATATCATGATGAAACTCTTTTAAAGGGGACCTATCATGCAAAATGCACTTTTGTACGTCTTTTACACATGAATATGTGTCCCCGGTGTTCCAGGGAACTCACCAAGTGTCAGAAAACACAACCCTCTCTATTTTCCTCCATACCCAAATCTCTAAAAAAGGGGCTGCAACGGATCTGATAAAAACTGATCCAGATTTGAACACTGTCCTGACGTCAGGACGGTGGCGCTACGGCTATTGGGCCAACTCCACCAATCAGGAGGAGACAGCCACTGCCGTTCGAAAGCACTGGAGACGCTGTAGTACATATGCCAGGCCTGTAGATGGTGCTGTTCTCACTGAATCTGCCCTTGCAAAAACAGGGATAAAAAATGTGAAATTGAGCAAAATGAGGCATGGCTAAAATGCATGATCTGTTTGGTATTTAAAAAAAAAAAAAGTATAAATATGCCTTATATAGGTATGGTCCTACACTATATTATTCAAATATAGCATGATAAAGCATCCACTTTAAACATAATTTTGCAAATCATATTCGACCCTATACTTGGGAACCAGCACTGAATGAGTATCCAGATCGTCTGCATACAAAAGACGGTTTATGATAACTCTGCTTTCTATCATTTTAATGTTCATCAGCCTCATAGTTGGTTAGATGAATCATGTGTGTACACGTTGAAGAGGGCTAATGAAAGTACACTCAGTGCTGATATTGATGATATTGATTACTGATGTTTTTCTCTTCAATAGAGCTTTAGACAGCATATTGATCATGTGGTTTCTTGGAAATGAAGATTCTGTCTACAGTTCCAAAAATCTGTGCTATAGCCTACAAATATATATTTGCATTAGCTTGTTTTGACAAATTAATAGTTAATGAATAAAATAAGTAAGTTGCCATTATGTTAGTAGGAGCATATAATATACAGCAGTTACTGTATTTGATCCGTCATCACACATAATTAAGATGACCAGATTATTGTTTTATTACAAACAAATAGCTCTTACCATGATGGATAAAGATCTGGAAAGTTGAGGTCCTTATCCCCTTTGCCTCTATATCATGACAAGACTCTTCTGAATGTTGAATTGCAAATAATTTTTGACCCCGTACTTGGAAACCAGCGCTGATAGAGCAGACAGATCGTTGCATATAAAAGATGGTTTATCAGGGTTTCACCACTCTGTTTTTTATAATACTGTTATCAGGCTTCTAGTCTGATAAATCATTACAGTACCCGTTAAAGAATGCTGATGAAGGTACACGGAAGAGTGATAATGTTTTCCAGCCTCAGTGTTTTCTCCTTCAATAGACCCTGAGCCTTGAGCTTTAGACAGTTCATTCATCATGTGGTTTCTTGGAAATGAGGATTCAGTTTACAATAAATGATATCAAAAACTTCATGAAACCCACCTCAGATGGCTTCATGAGCAAAGGTGTGTTCTTTCCTTTTTATAGAATTAGGACACATCGTTTCCTTCAATCAGACAATGATGGTTACACATTCCCAGGTACAATTAATAGCCTACCAAAGTAAAACTATGAATACATTCAAGGTTACATTTTCACATTTATTCAATTTAAAAGGGAACCATTTGCTCTTTCTATCACAATGGGATCTAAGTAAGCAACATATTGCTAATAGAAAAGTGTGCTTTGGTCGACAGCTATATTTTTAGAAGCTTATTTGGTCAAGTCTACAATTTGACAAGACAATGCCTTCTGTATTCACTTTTAAAAGTGACAATTGTGTGATCGGCCGTTTGAAAAAACGAGAGTCAGAGAACAAATGTCTTTCTTTCTTTGTTTTTCTCCAACCAGATTCATGTTTAGCTTTCTTCTTATTACATGGGAATGGTACCTCATTATTTTGTATTGCCTCAGAATAACATATTGTCCAGTAATCGATATCAGTGGCTCGTCATGAACCATTGCCTACTGGCACGCCCACAAATGTCAGATACCTGTTGTGTAACTTGGCTTTTGGAATGATTTGATTTAGTTTGAAACGCTGTGCATCCTATTTAGTCATTCCTCCAAGAGCTTCTACTTTATCTTGACTGCATGTTCAACCTCAGTATTTGTTTTGTTTTTAAGCACATTTGAATGCAGATAGAAAACTGCATTTCACCAACCATTAAAAAAGGAAAGTTGGAAATGATGTTAAAAGTACTAGTCACTTTTGATATTTGGCAGATAGAAACAGATACATCCTTCTCTTGAATTTTATTTTAAAGATGAAAACGCAAACAAATGTTACTATCTAATTTTCAGCAGTGGGACAGCTGTGTCAGTTAAATTACCGACACAGTGTGACGACATAAGGCTTCTCCTTCCTGGGTACACTTGAAAGAATCTTCTGAAGGTAAGTGGGCTCATTACATGGGTGACCTATATATTTTAGATTCTTCAAAGTAGCCCCCGTTTGCCTTGATGACAGCTTTGCACACTCTTGGCTTCTCTCAGTCAGCTTCATGAGGTCGTCACCTGGAATGGTTTTCAATGAACACGTGTGCCTTTTTGGAAACACTTGCCTTCTTAATGTGTTTGAGACCATCAGTTGTGTTGTGCAGAGGTAGGGTTAGTGCACAGTGGAAAGCCCTATTTGACTACTGTTGTAACCCATATTATGGAAAGAACCACTCAACTCAGTGAAGAGAAACGACCGTCCATCATTACTTTAATAAATGAAGGCCAGTCGATCCGGAAAATGTCAAGAACTTTGAATGTATCCTCAAGTGCAGTCGCAAAAACCATCGAACGCTAAGATGAAAGTGGCTCTCATGAGGACCCCCTAGAGTTAGGGTTACCTCTGCTGCAGAGGATAAACACATCAGAGTTACCAGCCTCAGAAACCACAAATTAAAAGCACCTCAGATTAGAGCCCACATAAATGATCACAGAGCTCAAGTAGCAGACAAATCTCAACATCCACTGTTCAGAGGAGACTGCGTGAATCTGGCCTTCATGGTCCAACTGCTGCAAAGATCCACCTACTGAGGATGAACAACAAGAAGAAGAGAATTGTTTGGGCCAAGAAACACAAGGATTGGACATTAGACAGTGGAAATCTGTACTTTGGTCTGATGAGTCCACATTTGAGATTTTTGGTTCCAACCGCGGTGTCTTTGTGAGACGCAGAGAAGGTGAGCGGATGGTTTCTGCATGTGTGGTTCCCACCGTGAAGCATGGAGGAGGAAGTGTGATGGTGGGGGGGGGGGGGGCTTTGCTGGTGTCACTGTTGGTGATTTATTCAGAATTCAAGGCACACTTAACCAGCATGGCTACCACAGCATTCTGCAGCGCCATGCCATCCCATCTGGTTTGGGATTACTGGGACCATCATTTGTTTTTCAACACACAATGACCCCAAACACACCTCCAGGCTCTGTGAGGGCTATTTGACTAAGAATGAAAGTGATGGAGTGCTGCGTCAGATGACCTGGCCTCCACAATCACCCAACCTCAACCCAATTGAGATGGTCTGGGATCAGTTGGGGCGCAGAGTGAAGGAAAAGCAGCCAACAAGTGCTCAGCACCTCTGGGAAGTCCTTCAAGACGGTTGGAAAACCATTCCAGGTGACGACCTCATGAAGCTGACTGAGAGAAGC